CACAGGCGCCAAGCCCAAAAATGGAAATTTAGGTGGTCAAGAGAATACAGAGGAGTGTAGGATTTCATTTCTTTCTAAAAATGGCTTTCCCCCAAAAAAGCAAGGATGCAAGGTGGGGCCCCCATGATGGTCATCCCAGGTGGCTGCCATGGGTATGGCTTGAAAGGCACATGGTCTTGTCAGTTGCGTTAGATAGCTCAGTCAATGGTAGAAGTAATCTTCCTCTCTATGGAAGCTTCTTTTGTGGGTATTCCCTATCCCCCACCAAACATACCCACATACGCTATAATCACAAACCCTAACATACTGTACCCATCAGGAGAGATGTTATCTCAAAATCCCAAATCCTATCTGTTCTCAAAATGCTTCACACATACAACTGAAAACAGGAGATTCTAAGGGACCCTTAAAAGGACTGTTTGAATAAGACCAGCACACAGCCAGGCTTTTGAGTAACTTCCTCACATCCCTTCTCCCTGTAGGTCTGGGCATCCTGTTACACAAACTCTGTCTATAGAAATTTACCAAGGCAAAAATAGAAGAGTAGGAAATCTGAACCATACTCCTGCCAGCCATAACTAAGAGTCCTCTGTGAATGTGAAGGACAAAGAATCGACTCTTCTGCAGCCTGCTCCTGGGGCCAGGGCAGTGAGCAGAACCGATGCAGGGGTGGGGCGTGGCACTCCTTGCCTTCTGCGGGCTCACTCGGCTGCTGTGAGCCTCTGCCACGGAGCTGCCCAGCATGGAGGGGACTCTTGGTGTTGGCTGTCCCTTACAGCAGCACAGCCTGGTTCCTGCCTGCCACCCCTCAACTGCTCTCCCCTGAACGCACCTCCCACGGCCACAGCCAAAGGGCACCACGTGGGCTCCTCCTGTGGGACCTCTGTGAGAGCTATCACACCTCTCTGGGAAGAACAGCCTTTGGTCTGCGCTCCTCCCTCACCGCTCCCTTCACTTACTGTTAGGGAGATGTCTGCCTTCCTCTTTAATCTCCCTGACCAAGCTCATTTACTATCTGACATGGCGACCTGCCACCTGCAGCATTCCTGCCATCTTCACTTAGATACTCTGTGCAGGAACTGGTTTAGAATCAAACTCAGGACTTCCTTCTGCAAGTAGGCTCCTCTTGTGTCCCCAGTGATCAATGATCTAACCTCCACCAAGGACCACACATGCCTTACTTTCCACATTCACATTCAGTCAGGCCCTACTGATTCCTCCTCCAAGAGGTCTCTAGCATGTCTTCCCCCCTCCCCCACCCCTGCTGCCTGGCCCAGGCCCTTCCCCTTGAAGCAGCCTGGGCTCCTGACGGCGCTGCCCTCAGCCCTTTCTTCCCTCTCCTACCCACCCTTCACTGCCACCAGTTTTCCTTCAACACAGGCAATGATCAAACCACTACCTATCTAAACTCCCTTCCTGGAAAATAAAAACACACCTCCTTAGCAAGACACTGAAGACTCTGCCTTCTCCATCTGGTCCCACCCACTCCTCAGCCTTGTGCAGCCACAATGCACCTGCAGTCCCGCCTCGCCAGACAAACTGGGTTCTCCAAAATGCTCCAGATTTTCACACACCTCACAAGGAAAGACCTGCAGTACTTCTGAGGGGATTCCTTGTATCCTTCAATTTAATTTAACTTTCCTCCGCTGGGAGCTATGGTACAAGTCTGTAATCTTAGCACTCTGGGAGGCTAAGGTGGGAGGATTGCTGGAGGTCAGAAATTCAAGACAAGCCTGTGCAAGAGCAAAACCCTGTCTCTACTAAAAATAGAAAAAACTAGCTGGGCATAGTGGCACCTGCCTGTAGTCCCAGCTACCAGGAGGCTGAGGCAGGAAGGCTGCTCAAGTCCAAGAGTTTGAGGTTGCTGTGAGCTATGATGACACCACAACTCTACCCAGGGTGACAGAGTGAGACTCATGTTCAGAATAAAAAAAAAAAAAGAAAGAAAGAAAAATAACTTAGAAATTACACCCAGATACAATGGACAGATACAAACTTTCTTTAAAAGGAATATTTTAGAAATACACTTGTTTTGTAATGGTACTTTTACCATTTACTGATAATAGAAACTTGGTCCACTAGTCTATGAGCATTCCTTTATCAATCAGAAATCCTAATATTCAACAAAATTTCTTGCTGTATTTAGTAAGTAATTAATCCAGACCAGGCCAAAAAAAAAAAAAAAAAGTACATTTAACAAAAAAGACAAATAGGAATGATCACTTACTGTATCTGGCAACAAAATTTAAACTCACTGAAGTGTTATACCCATATACAGTTTAAAAGCGCAAAGCTGAGCTTCCTCTGATTACTCTCCAGGTAAAAGTCAGAGTCTCAGGTGGACTGGGTGGGCACTCCACCCTCCTCCTCTTCTTCATTTTTTGCAGTTTTTTGGCCAGGGCTGGGTTTGAACCTGCCACCCTCGTCATATGGGGCCAGTGCCCTACTCCTTGAGCCACAGGCGCTGCCCTCTGCTTTCTTCTTTTATTTAAATAGCTTCTCAGCCACTGAAAAATGTATCTGACTGACTGGAGCACTTTTTTACAATCATCTTTCTGCCGTGATCACTACCAGACAGCTAAAGATGCTGGGGTTGTATTACTGAGCTCCTACATTCTGAACAAGAATGCTTTGGTGGCTCAGCGCCAATAGCTCAACCGGCTGAGGCGCCAGCCACATACACCTAAGGTGGCGGGTTCGAATCCCCAGCCCGGCCCGCCAAACAACAATGACGGCTGCAACCAAAAAATGGCCAGGCGTTGTGGCGGGCGCCTGTGGTCCCAGCTACTTGGGAGGCTGAGGCAGGAGACTCACTTGAGCCCAGGAGCTGGAGGTTGCTGTGAGCGTGATGCCATGGCACTATACCCAGGGGGATAGCTTGAGGCTCCTTCTCAAAAAAAAAAAAAGAAAAAAAAACGCTTTGGTTTACAACTAGTGGATACTCGAAAAAAGTGAAATGTGTTACACATTTTGGCTGATTCCCCAAGCAGGCACACTCAGAATTTCCAGACCAAGGTTTTCAGTATAGAGGGAATACTGTTTCACTGCACCCTACACCAAGTTTTTTCTCCACTATATAAGAAACAAAAACCATTATTTGTTGGGATTTTATGGTAATGAAGTGAATCCATGGCCAAATTTTTAGTGAATGCCTGCTATAGGCAAGGCACTGTGCTTGTACAAGAACTAAAATACTCATTTGTATAAATTACTCTATTGATACAGACAAATTATGAAAAGCCAATATATAAGTTGTAACAGCAGTGTATTTTTTTTTTTTTTTTTGGTTACTCGCCCAGGCGAGGTTTGAACCTGCCACCCTTAGTTGTGTAGGGGTGCCCACGGCATATTTTTTTAGACAAAAAGAAAGAAAAAATCTATAAAACTGGATTTTCCTTTCCTGTTCAAATTTCTGGAAATGTCCTCACTCATTCACAGCCATGTTGTAATTAAAGGAGTAAATGATACATATACCCAGTAAAGTTAGTAAGTAAATTGTCTCATTACTCATTCTGTAAAGACTTCCCAGAAAATAATGTAACTTCACCCCAGACTCAGACTGTAAGCACGGGTTTCATACACTTACAAACAGCATCTGGACAGCATCACACACCCAAGTTTCTCAGTCTCCTTTCTTCTCTTCACCTTGAGTCAGACAATTTATGCAATTATGCTTTCTTCCCAACAGTCTATTGTCTCTATACTGTATTTTCTAAACCTTGGGATACAGCTTCAAAATTTACGAAATCTGCTAAAAAGGCACATAAAGAAAAAAAATTACCAACCACTTGATAAAGGGATGTAACTAAAACACCAAGAGCAGCAAACACCATTCCAAGGAAATTAAACTTCACATCGTAATAAGAATTTAGGATTACACCTAAAGTTATAGGAATCTGTAAAAAAAAAAGAAGTAAATATTGTTCAGATTAAATTCAAGAGACATAAATTTAGTATCATTTCTATTGTGTCTTACAAGGCTAATCATAAACACAGAATTGGGGGAAAAATGAACCCATTTTCTTTTTTCCATTTTAGAAAAGTAACTTTAATCCTATTTTTCCTTAATCTGAACTATAGTAACTCTATATAGATGTTCACATTTAGTTCTTTTTTACATTTTTGGTAAATGCATTTTACCACATGCATGCAGATGAGCAGCTGGACGCCACAACTAGTAACATATAAGCACAGAAAAACTTAACAACAAAAGCGTAAGGACCGCAAACAGTCTACGTTACTAAAGGCTAAAATCATTTTTTAGTGTCCTTTATTTAATGCAGCCACCTCTGCAGCATGTCGTTGCAAACATACTCCAAGCTTTATACGTGTGTTTTAGGCAAACCTTTTCGTTTATCATACATGTTTGATTCTCACGGTGGAGGAGGGCAGTTTCTCAGCTGGAGCTTTTGCAGATATTCTGATACAATGAACTGCACCACTCAATACAGTGTTCTTTTCGTATCAATCACAGCATTTTTTTTTTTTTTTT